ATACAATATCTCCAAACAGAGAATTATCAAAAGACTAGACCTAGAAGTTTTCAAATATGCCGGGGAGGGAATGCAAATGGATCAATAACAACAACCCTCCCCCCAAAAATCCTCAAAATAATCTTGCATCATCATGAGAAGGCATGACTCATTAGAAGAAGTATAGTGTCTAGATCAAGAGAAGTCATAGTGCCACTCTATTCTGCTTTGGTCCGGCCTCACCTGGAATACTGTGTCCAGTTCTGGGCACCACAATTCAAAAAGGATGTGGAGAAACTGGAACGTGTCCAAAGGAGGGCAACTAAAATGGTGGAGGGTCTGGAAACCATGAATCCCTATAAGGAACAACTTAGGGAGCTGGGGATGTTTAGCCTGGAGAAGAGAAGGCTGAGAGGTGATATGATAGCCGTGTTTAAATATCTTAAGGGATGTCATATCAAGGAGGGAACAAGCTTGTTTTCTGCTGCTCCAGAGACTAGGACCCGAAACAATGGATGCCAGCTGCAAAAAAAGAGATTCCACCTCAACATTAGGAGGAACTTCCTGACAGTAAGGGCGGTTCGAGAGTGGAACACACTCCCTCGGAGAGTAGTGGAGTCTCCTTCCTTGGAAGTCTTTAAGCAGAGGCTGGATGGCCATCTGTCAGGGATGCTTTGATTGGGATTTCCTGCATGGCAGGGGGTTGGACTGGATGGCCCTTGTGGTCTCTTCCAACTCTATGATTCTAGAAAAGACAGTAATGCTTGGAAAAATGGAGGGCAGCAGAAAGAGAAGAAGATCACATACCAGATGGAGAGACTCGGTCAAGAAGGCCGCAGCCCTGAGCCTGCAGGAGTTCGGCAGAGCAGTTGCGGACAGGGGCTTGGAGGTGTCTCATTCACAGAATCACCACGAGTTGAAGTCAAGGCACTTAAAAACAACAAATGTTTGATGAAGAGGAGAAAACAAAGACTGAAAGGCAAGAGGCAACATAGAACAGAGTTTGTGGAAAGGAAAGAGGAATCACCCAGATGTCTGTCCGTCTGTCTTTCTCAAAGGTACTAAGCACCACATCATTGCCTGAACAGGACACAGAGGAGCTATTTTTAAGCATCCCTAGATATGAGCATCAGAGTTGCCCATAGCAATCAGTGAAGAAATCTAAAGTGTTAATATAGTTGGGACTGAGCACCTCTGTGTCCAAGGCATGCCCAAAGGAAAGGGAACACAGAACAGTTTATTGAAGATGGATCATGGTCATGGTCACAGAATGCCAAGTGACTGCTGGGGAGAATATTAGAAAACCAGGGAGGAAAAATGAGTATGCAAAAGGATCTTTTAGCACCTTTGAGACTAATTGAAAAAGAAAAGTTGCTAGCATGAGCTTTTGCAGACTTGAGCCTACTGGGGGAAATAGAACATATGGAATCCTTAACTGAGCATACTGCAGCATTGTATTGCAGGGCCTTATAGTTCTTAAACTGACTAGCCTGTGTGGAAAGTGATGCTCATGAAAGATAATGCCAGTCTCTCTCAGCCGAGGCAATAGCATGGGCCATGATATTGAAACCCTTCTGCTGCTGCAGCCAGATGGGTTTTCTGCTAATAGGTAAGAGCCAATTATGTGGGACATGGTCTCTTCCTCTTCTCTTCCATTATTGCTGTTCATATTGATTGGTTGATTTGTGGTGTCTCAGCTCACCAGGA